GGTGGAGAGGGAGCCCTGCGCCACAGCTGTGTGTCAGGGACGCCATGGCGGTGGAGAGAGGGCCCCTGCACCACAGCTGTGTGTCGGGGAGGCCATGGCGGTGGAGAGGGAGCCCTGCGCCACAGCTGTGTGTCAGGGAAGCCATGGCGGTGGAGAGGGAGCCCTGCGCCACAGCTGTGTGTCGGGGAGGCCATGGCGGTGGAGAGAGGGCCCCTGCACCACAGCTGTGTGTCGGGGAGGCCATGGCGGTGGAGAGGGAGCCCTGCACCACAGCTGTGTGTCGGGGAAGCCATGGCGGTGGAGAGGGAGCCCTGCGCCACAGCTGTGTGTCAGGGAGGCCATGGCGGTGGAGAGAGGGCCCCTGCACCACAGCTGTGTGTCGGGGAGGCCATGGCGGTGGAGAGGAAGCCCTGCGCTGGGCCTCCAAGTCTGTCTCAGAGCTCCCATTCACATTTTTGCTTCTCTCAGCAGTAACCTTTTCCAGAATGCTGAAGTTCCTGGGGGTGTGATGTGTTCTGGTGTTATTTTCTTCCCCACAGATGAAGGATTATCTCTCTCTGAGATGTGATGTGATTTGGGGCAAATCTTACTTGACTTTTTGTGTATGTATGCTGGTCTGGAGCCTTGAACTCAAGAGCTTGAGCACTATTTCTGAGCTTCTTTTGCTCAAGGCTACTGCTCTTCCACATGAGCTCTACTTCTGGCTTTTTGCTAGTTTATTAGAGATAAGAGTCTAATGGATTTTCCTGTCTGGGCTGGTTTTGAACCCCAATCCTCTTATCTGTCTCTTGTGTAGCTAGGATTATAGGTGTGAGCCCCTGGCTCTTGGCTCTTTTTTTTTTTCCCCTTAATGAAGCCAGTATCCATGAAGGTTAGTTGTCCCTACTATAGCACTCATTGGGAAAGACCCAAGTGTTTGAAGATGGCCATGGGTGCTGATGGGGCTTGTGCTTTGTTAGCAAGGGTTACAGCTCATGGCAACATTGCATGTGCTGTTACCATCCTTCAGTAACAGCGAAGTACAGTATGGTGCTGTATCTGCTGCACAATCCTGATAGGAGCTGTGTTCATCTATCTGTGCTGCCAGGCACAAGTCTAGGTACTGGTGTGCAGTGATGGTTAGGTGCTGTGTTATACAGCAACTGCATGTTCTGGACTGCAGTCCACCTTTTTTTTTTTTTTTTTTGCCGGTCCTGGGGCTTGAACTCAGGACCTGGGCACTGTCCCTGAGCTTCTTATGCTCAAGGTTAGCACTTTACCACTTTAGCCACAGTGCCACTTCCAGCTTTTTCTGTTTATATGGCACTGAGGAATTGAACCCAGGCCTTCATGCATGCTAGGCAAGCACTCTCCCACTAAGCCACATTCCCAGCCCCAAGTCCACCAGGCTTTTCATTTTAGCTGGCAAGATAGGCACAACTATACCCAGAAGGGGTCTCTAGAGTAGCCCTAGGTTGATCTCAAACCACAGTTCTTATTTTAGCCTCCAAAAGTAGGATTACATGTATGAGCCACCAGTGCCTACTCAGATTTTTCTTTTAGAACAGTTTAGGTTTACAAGAAAATTACGTATGGGGTTGAAGTTTTAGCTCAGTGCAAATGCAAGGCCCTGACTGAGTTCATTCCTCAGCTCTAGGAAAAAAGAAAGAAAATGGTGTAGAGAATACAGAGTTCCACAGTCTTGCATTATTGTGCATTCTTACAGTTGGTGAATCTCAACAGATGGTGGTACACATCTGTAACCCCAGCATTTAGGAAGCTGAGCCTTAAGAATAGGAGTTTGAGAACACATGGGGAAAGATATTGATACACTTCTGTGGAAGCATTGTTACCACCCAGAGACCATGGTTATATTAAGGCTCCCTCTTGGGGAGACACATTTTATGTAAGTTTGAACAGATGTATAATAATGCATCTCCACCTTTACAGTATCTTAGTCCTGCGGGCTACTTGTTCATACCTCCCCCCACTCCCTGGCAAGCACCAGTGGGTTGGTATCTTGTAGTTCTGCCTTCCTTTAGTGTGGTCTTGTTTGACATCACCCCACTGCAGTGTCTTGCACTATTTATGCGCAGTTGTGGTGGACAGGGCAGGTCTAGCACCCCAGGCCCCGCTACAGGCCACTGCATCACTGCTTTTCTTATTCATTGTAGATTGGCCTTTTACAGAAAGTCATCTGAAAGCCATGGTGTAAGGTCTGTGCTGTGCGCCTGAAGCTCCCGGTGTTGGTGTTGGGATGCGGAGCTGCAGCTTATTGCCCTCTCCTACTGAGTGGGTTCTGTCCTGTGAGCATGCCTGTTCCCCACCTGCGGAACTGAATTGTGCTTACCTCCTCCATGAGATGTTCATGTGTGCATGGGTTCCTGTGTCAGTGAACCAAGGAGGAAGAGGAGAGGTAGCGTGGGTCTTGTCTCTTGAGGCCCCTCCAAGTTGCCCTGCGGAGCCAGGCAGCTGCTCCCACATCCCGTCACTGAGCTGTCCTGGTGGGTGTAGAGTAGCAGCCTGTGTGCCTCTGCTTTCCCTTTCCCTGGTGCTCAGTGATGCTAAACATTTTTCCTGGCACATGCTCATTTGCTACTCCAACATCTTCTTCAGTGAAGTGCTTGTTCAAATCTGTGCCCATTTAACGATTGTGTTTAGAGAGTCCTTTCTCTGTTCTAGCTCTAAGACTTCTATTGGATAGGTGACCTGGACATGTGTCTGTGAGCCATCTGCATTTCATTCTCGTTACTCAGTGTCTCACAGAGCAAACATCTTTAGTGGATGAAGTCCTGTTGGTCAGCCTCTCCAGTGGTTTGGGCTTCAGTCAAAGATTTTCCTATATTTTCTTCTAGAAGGTTTATACTTCTGCATTGATGTTTATGAGCCACTCTGAATTAACTTTTTATTTGCTGGGGGAAGTTTAGATCGGGGATCATCTTTTTGCCTGTGGTAATTGTTTCCCAGTAGCGTTAGAAGTCTCCCTTCCCCCAGCAAGCTGCTATGCCACTGCTTACACATGTTGACTCTAATATATGTGGCGCTATATCTATATCTGGACCTTCCACTCCACTGATTTATGTATCAATTCTTTTCCCGACAGACTTTAGTTTTTAAGGACAAACAGAACAGAAAGAAATAGGGAAGATTTTTGTGTAACAAATTGATTCCCAGGGCCCTGAGTTGTCAGTTAGCTTTTTCTGGCTCTCTACCACTTAGTCTTTACACTTGGTTAATTGGAGATAAGAGTCTCTTGGGTTTGTCCGCCCTGGCTGACGGGCTGGCTTTGAATCTGGATACTCAGATCTCACTCATCTTCCTGAGTGACTAGGATTACTGGTGTGAGCCCCAAGTGCCGGGCTTGGCAAAGTGATTGATATAAGATGAAAAGCAAATTGGAGTGCTTGACTTCCTGCCCGTGCTTCCAAATGCAGACCTTTTTCAATTACTTGTAAATCTCCTTTCAGTTATAGAATTGTAACATTAAATTAAAGAGTAAATGAATTGAGGAAAGCTCTTAACTAAATGAAATCCTATTACATTGTTTGAAGACCCAGAGGCATTGAATGTGGCATGAACTGATTAGATTTACCCAGTAGCTTTGTAGAGAAGGAAATCAGTCTCCTGTGAGAAGGGGCCCCGACTCGTGGTGCATAGAGGAGGCCCCCTGGTGTCAGGGACCCCATAGAAATATTCACGTTGAACCCTGATGTCATACACGTAAAGGGAGCCCAGGTTAGGAGTTTTCTTAGCTTCCTTGTTCCAGGGACTGTCAGAGACAGCCCTTCTTACCTGAGAATGTGAACATAGCCATTGAACTGTATAATGCACCAACTTTAGGCTGGTCATAGATTTTGTGTTTGAGGGAGAAGAAAGAAAGATTAGAATTGAAGAGTGATTATATCAAGTAATATATCAAATAATATAAATATATGAACTTGGTTTTGAGCCAGATCTCCAGTCCATCAATTTGCTAGTTAATTGTGGATTTTCTGCCTGGGCCAGCTTTGAACTGACATCCTCAGATCTCAGCCTCCTGAGTGCTAGGAAGATGTGTATGCACCACCACACTTGGTTCCAGGGTTAGAAGAGGCCAGTCTTGCTTTTATATATTTATTTCCATAGCTGCATGTTATTTCTTGTAAGTCTAATCCATAGAAGGTCTGGCAAGCAGAGTTTGGATCGGCCAAGGACTGAGCATGGACTTGTAACCTTGCCCTCTGACCACACATACCCTGGCTTTGCCATTGTGGATTTCAAGGGACGGGGTATGGTATGCATACAGTTGGTTGATTGTAAAAGGTAGCACCGAAGTTGTGGAAAGATGGATTGGCAGGTTCCATAGAGATCACATAGATACTCCTCAGTTTCTTCAGCTCTCAGGCTCCAAGAGTGAGGTGCTCATTAAGATGGGGACCGCCTCCAGAGAGGTTAATTGTGTTAACTATGCCTCCCTGAGTTCACTGAGCAGGAGAGGAAATGGCCAGAACTCACTGCCTCTGTCTACAGTCCTGGGTGGTCAAGTGCAGCTTCCTGGGGGCAGGGTGGGCTCCTGAGGGGGGCAGCAGTTGGCCCGGTCCTTCTGCTGGCTGTGACTTATGCCTGCCAGCCTCTCACTTCCATTCACTTGGAGGCCTGAGCGTTGCTTCCTCCCTCTTTCCCCAGGGCCACCACAGTACGTTACAAAGGGAGAAATCTACGGATCAAAGCACCCATGTGCCGGGCCCTCAAGAAGCTCTGCGATCCTGATGGTAGGTGGTCTGTGGAGTAGGCACAAGCAAGTGTGGCTCACGTGACTTTATTCCATTTTGTGACGGACAGGCTGAGCTAGCAATCTCTTCTGTAGTCGTTTTGTGTTTGACCCCACTTAACCTCAGTCCCGTGGATAGTTTTTGAATTTGGAATGCTCTGGGCCTAGTAGTGTGTCCAAGTCCTGTCTAGCTATGGCAGCATTCTGACAGGAAGAAGTCTCATGGACTCCCAATCACAAGCACCATGTCATTGCAACGGTCTCTCTGCCTCCCTTTCTATTCCCTGCTTTCCATCACAAGGCAGTCTACCCACAGCTTTCATTCTTTTGGTTTTCTGCCAACGTGCTTTGCTTCCTGCCTTGAAGTTGTATGCCTCGGACATTCATGGTCTTCCTTTCACAGGCCTCAGTGATGAAGAAGACCAGAAGCCAGTGCGCCTGCCCCTGAAAGTTCCTGTAGAGCTTCAGCCACGCAATAACCACGCCTGGGCTCGAGTGCAGAGCCTTGCCCAGAACCCACGCCTCAGGTGATACGCTGCTCAGCATGAGGAGGGCTCCTGCTGCCTGGGCAGGGCTTCGGGGTGGCATTGGCATTTCTCTCAGGGAATCTAAGTTGGAGGCTTTTTTCCCTGTGCTCTGACATCACGCAAGGATGGGGCAGTGTGACACTAGCATAGGAGTCATCTGACCCCACAAGGCCTGGAGGCACTGACTGAAGCTCCATGCATGGCCAGGAGTCTTGGGGTTGAGTGAACGCTTTGAAGGATGTTACATTCAGGTGGAGTGTCTGCTGAGTCTTCCTCATCTTTTCGTAAAGCCCTTACTAGCCCTCTCTCTCCAGTTCCCCAAAGATTTGACTTGATTTATGCACAAGGTACCACTGTGGTTAAAGAATTTTTTTTCCCATTTATACACTTTCAAAAATTGAGGTAAGCCAGGCGCCTGTGGCTCATGCTTGTAATCCTAGCTACTCAGGAGGCTGAGATTTGAGGATCATGGTTTAAAAAAGCCAGCCTTGGCAGGAAGGTCCGTGAGACTCATCTCTAATAAACTACCAGGAAACCACTGGTAGTTTGGAGCACTGTGGCTCCAAGTGGTAGTGTTAACCTTGAGCAAAAAGGCTCAGGGACAATGCCCAGGCCCTGAGTTCAAGCCCAATTGCAAAAAAAAAAGAAAGAAACATTAGTCATTTTAAAGTTCGCTGTTGTGTGTCCTTTAGTACATTCATAGTATTACACAACCTCCACCTCTGTCTACTTCCAGAAAATTTGTATCACTGCCAGGACTCCATACCCATTAATAGTCATTCTCGGATGCTCGCTTCCCCCCAGCTCCTGGCACCTGCCCATTTACTTTCTCTTAGTGTAGATACTTCATATTAGTGGAGCTATACACAGCACTGGCTGTGATTGCTCCTCTCGTTGGCTGTAAGTGTTGAGGTTCTTCCTCACTGGTAGCACATGCCAGTGGTGCATCCTGCCCATGAGTGTGTTTCGTTTTCTTTTTTTTGTTTTTTGTTTTTATTGTTTTTTTTTTTGGTCAGTTGTGGTGCCTGAACTCTGGGCCTGGGCGCTGTCCCTCAGCTCAAGGCTAGCATTCTACCACTTGAGCCACTGCACTACTTCTGGCCTTTTCTGCTTATGTGATGCTGAGGAATCGAACCCAGGGCCTCATGCATGCAAGGCAAGCGCTCTACCACTGACCCACCTTCCCAGCCCTGTGTTTCATAAAGGTGCCCAGGGGGACTTGGCTGTGTGAAGGTGACCTGAGCCTCACCACATTATTTCTTAGAGTTTCACATGAACCACGGTGCTCTTAACGGATAAAGCCAAGTTTTAGTAAGGGGAGCCATGGGTCTTGCTGATGTACCTTCTGCGGCCTGCTTCTCTTTCTTGTGTGGTTTGGGTTTAGGCAGCCATTGGTGATCTTCCGCAGGTTTCCTCCTCAGTTAACGGCTGCTGTCTGTCATGTTCATAGGATGATCGTGGAGCTACATCGGAAAGTGTCCAGCCTCATTGAGTTCCTGAAGCAGAAGTGGGCACTCCATGAAGTGCGAATTGTATCTTTTCAACTTAAGCAAACTTCCCAAACATGGCAGCTTCTTCTACTTGAGTGACCAGGTCTCCCTTCCTAACCCATGCTGCTGCTGTGGGCCTTGCAGGAGCCCTGTACCCCAGGGTTTTGTCTATGGAGACCTGCCTGTGGTCTCCATGCATTGCAGGGCTTGGTCACAGCAAGCTCTCTGAGCTGTGAGTGGCCATCTCTCTGGCCTTTGGGGTGTGGCCAGAGCATCCTGCCAGTAAGGTGAGCAGCATGACAGGGCCTTGCCTTCCTGGCCTACATGGCCTATTGGCCCTGGCTGAACTCCTGGTCCTAAGGACGTGGAATGGCTGGGCCAGCATTGTTTGGTAGTGGCTTGGGGCGAGTCCCTAGGGTCAGGGTACAGCGCTGAGCCTCACTGCAGCCTTGTGCCTGTCAGTTGGCATGACATGGAATAGCTGGTGGAAGTTGCTCCTTGACAGTGCACCCAGCGGAAGACACTAGAGGAGCGGCAGCTGCAGGGCTCCAGCACGGCGCAGATACAGGAGAAGGTGGCACTGCACCTGTTCCCAGGCGAGAACTGCACACTGACGCCGCTGCCCGGCGTGGCCCGTGTGGTGCACTCTAAGGCCTTCTGCACGGTGCACTGGCAGGAGGGTGGCCGGTGCAAGCAGAGCACCAAGGATGCCCACTCGCTCCCCCCAGCCCAGATCCTGGGCATCCAGAGTGGGCAGGGCACCGCTCGGGGCCAAGTGAAGTGCCCGAGGGGTGGTGCTGAGGGCAAGGGCGGGGGGCGCCCCCTTCCCACTGCCGACGCGTCGCCGCAGAGCTCTGGAGAGAGTTCCCCTGAGAGTGCCCCTGGGGAGGGGGCCGCCCCGAGTCTGAGCAGCCCGGGCGCTCCCGACGGGCCACCTCATGGGCTCCAGGACTGCGGGCCACACCTCGAGAAGACCCCTGCAGCGGGCGGGGATGCCCCCATCCGGGAGCCAGGGGTCCTGCCCTGTGCCTGCAGTCAGCTCCCAGACCTGGAAGACGAACTCTCACTCCTCGACCCTTTTCCCCGCTATCTGAAGTCCTGTCAGGACCTCATCATCCCGGAGCAGTGCCACTGTGCCGACACGCAGCCGGGGAGGGAGCGCCCTCCCAGCAGGCCGGCCTCCCCCGAGGCGCTGGCTCCCTGCAACAGAGAGCCCGCTGACCTTGTCCCCCCCGGCAAAGACTCCCAGCCTCCCCCGGGGCTCCCGCCAGACGCTTGCACTAAAGACCTGACAGATGCACCTGCAGAGGAGCCCCAGGAGAAGGGGAGTCCCTCGGAACTTCTGCTGTCTCAGGGACAGCCTGCCACCAGGCCCCCAAAGGAGGTCCCCGCCAGCCAGCTTGCCCAGCAACTGCGGGAGGAGGGCTGGAGCCTGCAGACCTCTGAGAGCCTCACGTTAGCTGAAGTCTACCTCATGATGGGCAAGCCGAGCAAGCTACAGCTGGAATACGACTGGCTGGCTGTGCTTGGTCCTGAGGGCCGGGTGCCCACCGGGCAGAGCCAGGCTGCCCACCCTGGCTCCCCACCTCCTGCCCTCCACCAGCAGCGCCTCCTCAGCTGCCTCCTGAGGCTCATCTCCACTGAGGTCCATCCCAAGCTGGTGAGTGGGTGGGCTATCAGCCCAGGCAGTCCAATGAGTGGGTCTAGAGGTTCAGCCCTGCCTAGGTTGCCACGTGAGCGAGGCGGAGGCTACCCTGGGCTGGTGAGGGGTCGGGCATGGGGAGGGGGCAAGGCGGCCTGGTGATGCTCCTGAGACCAGGTCTAACAGTGGAGGGGGCTGCAGTTTTAGCTGCGTGGCGTTGACCCCTGGACATGAAGTGGTCAGGTGTGACCAGATAGATGTTGAGTATAGATGACTGCTTTTGGTGGAGAAGTGTGATGGTGGGAAGCCCCAGAGAGGAAACCAGTTAAGACTTGTACCATGTGGGGAAGTGGTAGGAGGTTCTGGCTTTAGCTTTGACTGGGTAAGAAACGTGGTGGCCCGGAACAGTGTTGTGGGTGGTGAATAGTGGTAGGAAGCAGGCTTATTGCCTAGCGTGGGCCAACAGCTGCGACTTGTAGACTGAGGTGCTGGGTCAGGGGGAGTGGCCACACCTGTCACCCCGCCTTCGGGAGGTGAGGCAGCCAGGACTCAGAACGGTTGGCAGACTGTAGATAGCTTCCTGGGTAACCTGGTGCAGTGCACAGTACTCGCAGTCAGGGAGACTGGAAACCTCCGGTTGGGGGCTCCGTCCGTCCTGTTTTTCTGTTCCTGCTTGCCCAGCGGAGCCGTGGCCAACAAGAAGGCCTGGGACTTCAGACTAAGCAGAGTTCACAGAAACCCTCAGTGGGAGGTGGGGTAGTAAGAAGGAACTTGGAGGTCCCTAAAAGGGACCGGGGCTGGCGGTTCTTTGGGAGCTATAGTGGGGGCACAGGCAGAGGGAAAACTGAGCTAAGGACCTGGACATGCCTCCCCTGTGGGAGCTGGCTCCGGGAGGGGTCTTCGGATGGCTACTCGGACACCAAGTGCGTGTGTCGGGGGAGGGGAAATGAGAGCTGGGATAGGGTGGTGGGTAGTGAGAGCTGGGACACCACAAGGCTGGGGGCGGGGGGAGCGGGAGGAGCATCTGGCCAGACCTTCCCATTAGGCTAAGACTGGAGATGGGGTTAGAGGACAGGGCTTTGCTACCAGGCCTGGAACCTTCAGGGCCTCAGATATCTGTGAGGTAGGTCTTGCTGTGAGAAAGCTCTTCAGCTGTGACTGCTGAACTCTCACAAGTAGATCTGATAGCAGGGAGGCTGCTGCCCCCCAGCGCCACATTTTACGGTGGCTTTGAAAACGGCTAGCTGTTACCACCTGCTACCAGGGCCTCCTCGCTCCTGAGCTGGGGCCAGTGAACCCTGGCCATGCTAGACCAGCCCCCTGCCTCCGCTGTCGGACCGCCCGCCCCTTCTCATCCCCCATGTCCAGGCAGGGGACACACATGGGCTTCCCTGAGGAGGATGGCAGCTACTTTGGATACTCAACTGGCTGGGGGTTTGCGCTTTGCTCTGTGTGTGTGTGTGTGTGTGTGTGTGTGTGTGTGTGTGTGTGTGTGTGTGTGTGTGCGCGCGCGTGTGCACTGAGTGACCTTGGGGCTTGTCAAGGTCAGTTATTTTAGCGCTGTTCTTTACCACCATGAGCTCTGTGCCAACTTCAAGTCTTGAGGTTGTGCTCACAGGAGCTCCAGGCACTCACGGTAAAGCCATTTTCTCATGTTGAGCCTGGGTGTATTTTGGCTTATGTCTGACCAGGCTCTGGAAACAAACACCGCATCTGCCGCCTCAGTGAGGCCCACCCCGGAGGAACAGTCCACACCGCCCCCCGGGAAGGTGGTGGCCCTCAGCTCGCGGAGCCCTCGCTGCCCTCGAAGCCAGTCTGCCCTCCGCAGCAGTAAGACCCTCCCTTCTGGCTGTGCACCCTGCTCTCCAGGTGAGGAGTGGTATATCCGCCCAAACCAGACACATGCCTCAGGCCAGCCCTGCTTTCCATTTAAATCAGTGACGGCCTAGCCAGTGGGGGTGGAGGCTTAGAATTTCCTTCCTCGGGATGAGTGCGGATGCTGGCTAGGGAGGGCCTGGGGCCTGGGTGAGGTGCTGGCAGTGGAGGAGGTGGGTGAGGGGCAGTCGGCCGCTTGGTCACTGCAGGGTTCCTGTGCCATGAGACCTGCACGCGCCTCCACAGCGTTCTGTCACTAGCTCCACACCCCAGAGGGGGGCTGGGCTTCGATCCAAAACAGTAGAATAAGGCAGCTCCTTGAGGAAAAGTGCTAGCTGTCTAACACAGTTGTAAGGATGGAGTAGCCTGCCAGCCCGTTAGTTCAACTTGGACAATCTTTTTCTTGTTTGTTTTGAGGTGCTGGGAACAGAACTTGGGGTCTTACACATGTCAGGCAAGTGTGTTACCACTGAGCTGTATCCTCATACAAAATAAGTTAAATTTAAATGGATAATTTCCACCACTTTGTGTATAAAACCCCTGAGATACGTATGCCCCATGTCTCTGGGAATGTTTTGCTTGCTTTAGACTTTCGGTGTTTTATAATAAAACAGCTTATCACAGAGTGGTGAGTTCTACATTAGTCTTAAAAAGTAGGCTGGGTGCCAGTAATCCCAGCTACTTGGGAGGCTGAGATGGGGAAGATCATGGTTCGAGGCCATCTTATGGAGAAGAGTTGATGAAATCCCTCCTCAACCAGTAGCTGGGCACGGTGGCGTGCAACTGAGAGGGGAGGATCGGGAGTACAGGACAGCCCCAGGCAAAACAGGCTGCATCAGAACAATGCCATCTTGAGGAGACTGGGCATGATGGCACATCCCTGCCATCCCGCTACAATGAGAAGCTGGAAACCGGAGCATCACAGTCCAGGCATCTGTCTTGTCAGGAATCAGATCTCATCTTAAACATAACCCATGCTTCTAGCTACTCGAGAGCTGAGATTGAGATTACCTTGGGCAGAAAAGTTTAAGAGACTTAAGAAAAGGAGTCTCGCTGGGCGCTGGGCGTTGGTGGCTCACACCTGTAATCCTAGCAACTCTGGAGGCTGAGATCTGAGGATCATAGTTTAAAGCCAGCCCAGCCTGGAAAGTCCCAGGAAGCTCTTATCTCCAATGAACCACCAGAAAATGGAAGTGGTGCTGTGGCTCAAGCGGTAGATCGCTAACCTTGAGCTGAAGTGTGCAGGGACAGCGCCCAAGCCCAGAGTTCAAGCCCCACGACCAACCCCCTCCCCCCCGCAAAAGAAAAAAAAGGAGTCTCTTTGAGAGAAGTAGGATGGGGTGGTATGCACCGGTGTCACCAGCACCAGTGGGAGCCTAGCCTGAAACCCTGACTCTGAAAGGAGACAGGTGGAGACTTAGGAGAATTGAGCCCCTTTCCTGAAAATAAACAGTGAAAAACCTGAGGCATTGGGGTTAAGGGTGAGGGTTGAATTAAGTATTAGGGTTAGCAATTGGCGTTAGGGGTAGAGGTGGCCTGGAATCCCGGCTGCCTGAGAGGAGGTAGATGGAACGCCAGGAGAAGTGAGGCCCTGTCCTGAAAATAACCAGGAAAAGAAAGCTGGAGGCGTTGGGGTTGGAGATAGGATGGGGGTTGGGGCTGGAGGCGTTGGGGTTGGAGTTGGAGATAGGATGGGGGTTGGGGCTGGGTTCAGAAGGCATAGAGGTGGCTAAAGGGCTGTGGAGAGAATTCCTTCATGGAACTCTGCCTGTGGGTGATGCGGGTGAGTCAGTGTGTGGCCCTTCTTTTCTAGGGTTAAGAAATCCCCCAAGGCCCCTTTTGGTGGCTGGCCCCTCCAGCACTGGGAGCAGTGACTCAGATGGTGGCCTCTTTGCCGTGCCCACAACTTTACCACCCAACAGCCGACATGGGAAGCTCTTCTCTCCCAGTAAAGAAGCAGAACTGACTTTCCGGCAGCACCTGGACTCCATCAGTGTGAGTGCCAGGCCGGGGATGCCCCTGTAGCAGGTGCTGTGTCAGGGGAGGGCATGCCTTTAGTGCTCATGTCCCTTGCAGATGAAGCTGGATTTCTTCCCTTACAGATGCAGTCTGATTTCTTCTCACCAAAGCCCAAGAAACTGCGGAAACGGCACCTTCGGAAGCCATTGGTGGTCCAGGTGAGGGAACTTTGCGTGGATCTAGCCAGCTGTGGCCGCTGACTCTCCCACCGGCTGAGCTGGCTAGGACACAGGGATATTACCTGCCTTTCCTCTTATTTCTCAGCACCACCTAAGCAGGAAAAGCCAGAAGTGGCTTTGTGGCTCAAGTAGTAGAGCCTTAGCCTTGAGCTGAAGAGCTGGGACAGTGTTCAGGCCTCACTATCGGCAAAAACAAACAGACAAACAGAAAAGACAGAAACACAAGGGACTGGTTGGGTTCCTTTCACAGAGGATCCAGTGTTACCAGGCTCAGGGCCCGCAGGACAGAAGGCGTCAGACCCATGCATCCTATGCATGCAGTTGTTATTGGCTCCGAAGCAAGCTCCCTGCATGCTTGTACCGGGCTCCCCCCTGTTTGAATACTCCTTTGTAACACAGTTTCTGATGGATTTTTTGGGCACTGGTATCTTCTTGCCACCTTGATTTTTTTTTTTTTTTTTTCTTCACAGAGAACACTGCTTCCTAGGCCATCTGAAAATCAGTCCCACAATGTGTGCTCTTTCTCCATCCTGTCCAATTCTCCCATAGCTGGTAAGGCCTGGGTTTCTCTGTATGCTTTTGCTTCCTGGGCGTGGCCTTGCCTTGGGAATGCAGATGTTGGTTTCCATGGCTGTTGTGTACCAATGTGCCCTCAGTGGTGGGCACAGTAATAGGGGCTTTGCCTTCTCAGAGGTAGGAACAATTGGCCCTGCTCAGTTTTGTGGATTCTTTGCTTCGACGTTCTGCGCATGATTATGTCAGGAAGTTCACGGAATAAATACGTTCTTGGGCAATATAGATCATAGTTTCTTGTGACTGTACATTGAGTAGGAGCCCTGGCACTTCCAAGTGAGCAAAATCAGACAGAGTTCCTCAGTAAAACACAGGCTATATGATTTGTCTTTGCTGGTCTTGCTTTCTGTGTGTGTGCGTGTGCGTGTACGTTGTGTGTGTGTGTGTGTGTGTGTGTGTGGAGAGGATGTGGGGATGGGACAAGGAAAGGGTGGAAGAGAGGGCCTCAGATACTACTGTGAACTGCTTCCAACCAAGCCTTCTTGATCATGTACTTAAAAGGCCCAACAGCCATTGATGGCTTTTCTCCGGCTAGTGAAAACAAATGGCTGTGGCAGAATTTTAGTCCATGGTCTGATACACTGACGGCCCCCAGGCCCTGTATCTCTCTTTGGGAGTTTGTCACCCTTAAAATGCCTTTCCCAGGGCATTATAGTGGAGACTGCAGATCCTAGCAGAATTGACACAGTGTGCCATCGTGGAATGTTCTAGGGCTCCCCTCTCTTGGGAGTCTGTGCGATGTGAAGCAAGTGTTGGGAGCGTTGGGTGGCTTTGTGTGATCCCCAGTGTGTCTGGTGAAGGAACTCCTCCGCAACCTGTTTTTGCACTGAGTCAGCACAGATCTGCCAGACTGACATGTTTGTTTTTGTCTTCCCTTGCAGGCAGAGGCTGGTTCCGGCCCATACAGTCCTCTCTGGCCAAAGCAGCTCTGTCTCGTCCCATTGTACCCAAGGTCCTTCCTCCCCAGGGCACCAATCACCTGGCCAGTAAGTCTCTAACCTGTAGTGACATCTACCATGTGATCTTCCTAAGTTGGCCTTTTTTTGTGTGTGTTGGGCTTGAACTCAGGAACTGGGCATTGTCCCTAAGCTCTTTTGCTCAACTTGTACTCTATCACTTAAAGCCACAGCTCCATTTCTGGTTTTCTAGTAGATAATTAGAGATCAAAATTTCATGGACTTTCCTGCCCCGGCTAGCTTTGAACCGGGACTCTCAGATCTCAGCCTCCTGAAGAGCTAGGATTATAGGTGTGATCACACTGACCCCTGTGCCTTTTTTTTTTTTTTTTTAATCAGAAGCCTTTTTAAATGGGCTAGGAAGGTGGCTCAGTGGGGTAGAGCGCTTGCCTTGCATGCATGAGGCCCTGGGTTCGATTCATCAGCACCACATAAGCAGAAAAAAGCCAGAAGTGGTACTATGGCTCAAGTGGTAGTGCACTAGCCTTGAGGTGAAGAGCTGAGGGACAGTGCCCAGGCCCAGAGTTCAGGCCCCATGACTGGACCAAAAAAAAAAAAAAAAAACAAAACAGAAGCCTTTTAAGTAATTCTGTTTTCTCCAACTCACAGTATTTTATTATCTTTCAAAAGAACACTAAAACTGGGTGTTGGTGACTTAGGCCTGCAATCTTAGCTACTTAGGAGGCCGAGATCTGAGGGTTGTGATTTGAAGTGAGTCTAAGAGGGAAGTCCCTGAGACTCTTTTTTTTTTGGTCCAGTCATGGGGCCTGAACTCTGGGTCTGGGCACTGTCCCTCAGCTCTTCACCTCAAGGCTAGCGCACTACCACTTGAGCCAAAGTACCACTTCCGGCTTTTTTCTTTTTCCTTATGTGGTGCTGAGGAATCAAACCCAGGGCCTCAGGCATGCAAGGCAAGCGCTCTACCACTGAGCCAACTTCCCAGCCCCAGTCCCTTAGACTCTTATCTCCACTTAACCACCAAAAGCCAGATGTGGATCTGTGGCTCCAGTGGCAGAGCACTAGCTTTGAGTAGAAAGCTCAGGGACAGCACCCAGGACCTGAGTTCAAGCCCCAGGACTGGCACAGAAGGAAACAAAAGGAAAAGCACAATAGCTTTGAGCTCTTCATTGAATTGAGGTTGGAGGGGAAGCGTCCCCGGATTCTCTGGATGCATACATGCAGTATCCGGAAACAAAGCTTTAAAATGTTACTCCTGTCACCAGGTGCAATCGACTTAGCGGCTCAAAGTGCTGGAATCATCCCAAGGAGCCAGCTGCCAGTCTTGGATACCAAGGGCTCGCCTGGGATTCCCTCACTGACTTCAGAGGAGGTGACTCCCACGGTCTCTGGGCAGGACTCAGTCAGACCCCACCAGAGTGGCGGGGCCGTCCCTGCTGTGGGGGTGAGTGTCTCTGGAGCAGCTCTTGCTGTGATAGATAACTTATGGGGTTGGTCTTCTGGAGCCTGGCCCTGGGTCACGTTCGGCCCAGCGCTGCCTTTCAGTGGATCAGGCCTGATAAAGCTTATAAGCCACTGAGCAAGGAAGGCCGAGTAATGAACATGGCCCCTGCAGCAGAGGAAGGGAAGGAGGGAGCACATCTCTGTCGTTCAGAGCTCAGCCACGCGTGGCATTGTGGCGCCAGCCTCATGAGCTCATGAGGCCTTCTTGGGCACTCAGCACTTTGTGAGCCCGGTTTGGCCTTGTTACCCATCCTGCCTGATTCTCCATGTCTATGTTTCTTGCCCGCTTGTGGGCTGCCTGAGTCAAGTGTGTGGGCTGACTCCATGAGAGCCCAGGAAGCTCAGCTGTCCTGGTGTTCTGAGGTCAGGTTCTTACTTGGGCTTGAATTCACAATGAAACAACCAAAAACAAATAAATAAGTAAGTGTAGGTCCCTCAATGCTGTATAACACTTCCAGCCTAGCGCATGGTCCGTTACCTGCCTCTCTGGCTGTTAAATTTCGACAGCCTTCCCTGGAGCTGCTCCAGGCCAGCGGTTGGGTCATTGCTGTAGCGCTGATCCGTCCACTCACCAGTCTTCCTGGTGTTGTTGCAGGGCACGAACGACCCATTTATCAGCGTCCCCCTGAGGCCAGAGCAGGAGCCAGTGACAGACGGTTTCCAGGTAGAGTGTGCTTTGGGGCTACAGAGCAAAGTAGCTGGCCCAGGACCTTCTGCAGTGCCAAGTCCCCACCCCTGGCCACAGCAGACCACAGTATTCAATGATTGTTTTGTTGTCCTGTCCACCTCACCTACTGCTGGTGATTGAATGAATCCGGCTATCTCCTCATTTCAACATCCTTCCTTCATACCCACTTACAGAAGGACTGGGTGTTGTGGGGCTCAGGATCAGCAGGAGGTCATCAGCTTATGCCTCCTCTGGCACTCAGTCTCCACCTGGGCATCACCAGTTGATCCACCGGCAGCCCTGAAGCAGTCCCAGCCCCCTTTGCCTTGGCCTGACACTGCTCACCGTTTCAGGAGTAGTCAGTCCTGAGCGTGCCCTCCCTTGGGGGGAGGGTTGGCGTGTTTGGGGCACTGTGCCTACGGCAGCCACCAAGCTGTGGGATGAGGCCATAGTCATTGTTTTGCTTTGGGTTCTGGTTTTCCACTTGAGCCATAGCAGTGCCTGTTTCCTGGCAGGGTTCTTCTGTGCTCTCCTTACCTGAACTACCCAAGACTCCTCTCCCGAATGGTCTCTCCACACCTCTGCCTTCATCAGAAGGCTCCAGCACCCGGCTCTCCCCACCTAATGTCTCTGCACTGCTGGACATCTCCCTGCCTGGCCCACCCGAGGATGTGCTCTCTCAGGGAGAGCCCACCACGCAGATCAGCGACTCCATCATCGAAATCGCCATTAGCTCGGGCCAGTACGGTAAGACCGGGTAGCCTCTCATCCCCCAGCAGCCAGGTCCCGCAGGAGGTGGTGATTACATTTGCCCTGTGCCATTTTGTTTGTTTTTTTGGGTCCAGTCATGGGGCCTGAACTCTGGGCCTGGGCGCTGTCCCTCAGCTCTACAGCTCAAGGCTAGCGCTCTACCACTTGAGCCACAGCGCCACTTCCGGCTTTTTTCTTTTTTGCTTATGTGGTGCTGAGGAATCGAACCCAGGGCCTCTGGCATGCAAGGCAAGCGCTCTACCACTGAGCCACCTTCCCAGCCACTGCCCTGTGCCAATTTGATCTGCTGCATATTCACTAAACTTCCTGGAGGCTTCCCAGTTCCATTGTTACCTCTGAGCATCACATAACCTTCCACTACAAGTGTTACGGTAGGGAGTGTTGATGGAGAGGTGGTCCTGACCCTCCTGCTCATGGTCTTATGGGAGGATTTCTCTTGACCTTGAAAATAAAACAGCTCAGTCCTCAAGGCCCTCTGTAGCCTAGGTTGAATGAGTCTGGCAGAGAGCTCACCATCTGCAGCACTATGGCAGTGGCTGGAAAGGCAGCCACCCTCGGCTGTGGCCCCATCCTCTCTGTCTGACAGTGTTCTGGTGGTGAGTGCTGTCATGTTGCAGTCCTGCAACACATCCTTCCTGCAGCATGAACCACCAGGAAGCTCTTTGGCACTCTTGTCTCTGGTATGGGCTCAGGAGTCTTGAGTTTCCTTGAGTGAGCAGTGTACAGCCCCCGCCTCCCACTGTCTTCTTGCTGGTGGCTTGGGGAAGTGTCTCTGATCTGTAGTATTGGTTGGCAGGTGAAGGAGTCCCTCTTTCTCCAGCAAAACTAAATGGCAGCGACAGTTCCAAGAGTCTTCCCTCCCCATCTAGCAGCCCCCAGCCCAACTGGATTGCCTCTCCCACCCACGACCCCCAGTGGTACCCCAGTGACTCCACAGACTCTTCGCTCAGCAATTTGTTTGGTGAGTGTCAGGGGGAGGGGTCTCCTTTGCCCAGTAGCAGGGACTGGAGTCCAAAGACTGCATTCTCTGCACTCTGGCCACACTTCTGCTGGGAGTTGTTGCTTAGTTCTCAAGTGTTTGTTTTTTCCTTTGTTGGTTTTTTTAAGCATAACATTTATATTGAAAAACAGATGTTCAGTAGGTAGTTCAATGAATGTTGACACATTTTAAACCCTGATAGATAGCCCACCACACAGTAAAGACAGAACATCCTATTACCCTCGTGGTATCGTCTCCAGTCTGTCCAGGTGGCCTGCTCCTGCCCAACTAGGCTCTTACAGGCTGTAGCTGAGCCAGTGACAAAGTAAGCAGTCCATCTTAGCTCCTCCTTCCTTCCCTCCCTTCCCTCTTTTTCCCCCTTCCTCCCTCCTTTCCTTCCTCCTTCTGTAAGGCAATCTGAAGTGAATGTTATAGAGATCTTGCAGCATATTGTTGACCAGAGTGGGGGAGTCATGGAGTTTGTGTTCGTCTGTGCATTTCTCTGATACTGAACGCTAGTGTGCAAGAAGAAGCGTACTTGGAAAGGGACAGGATCCCTGGTTCTCCTGTGACCAGCGTAGATAGAGCTCCCCTTTGCATGTCTGGGTTTAGCCCCTTGAGGTCTGAGTGTGGTGAGCACGCAGGGTTGGTCATGTGATAGGCAGTCCTGAGGAGGCATTCGGAACACATGATACACTTGGTTAGCTCTGCCTTTGGGCACCATGCTTGGTGGTCTAGAAGTACTGGGGGCTTTAGATAATTGGGAAGTAGAAGAAGCCAGTTCCTCCCCTAAGTGGTTCCTTTTGTTACCAGTGACAGTGCAGATGTGTGCAAGGTAACAGGCAAATCATGAAAAATTTAAAGCAACCTTGGTGCCTATTAATGAGGGACTGGTTGCAGAGAGTAATCTTCTGGGGGGTTGGGGAAGTGGCAATCAGTTGGTGCAACAGCGGGGCCCGTGGAACACAGTAGGGCATGCGCGTGATCCCGGATCGCTGGCTGAGCAAAGCCAGTCACAGCATGGTGAGGCCGTCCCAAGTGTGAGGTGGTGGCTTCCCTGTGCCAGAGTCAAACTGTGGCCTTTGGCTTTCTCTTTCCAGCTAGCTTCATTTCCCCGGAGAAGAGCCGGAAGACGCTGCCAGCTACCATGGGGGCCAACAGTGGCACTTCTTTGCTTGGCCCCAGCTTGTTGGATGGAAACTCCAGGGACTCTTTCGTGTCCAGGTCCCTGGCGGATGTTGCAGAAGTAAGTACCCTCCCATGCACCTGAATCTGACTGCCCACCCCTACTCTGGAGGGTGCCTGCTTCTTCCTGCAGCCTGTAGGTTGCAGGAAGTCCACACTAGGGTGAAACCAGCATTCAGTAAATACAGATCTGAAATGTGCCGGTACTGGGCTGTGTCCAGTGACACCCTGCTCCTTGAACACATCAGAACTGGAAAGTGCTGAAGCCAAGGTGAACAGTTCTGCAGAGGCAAGCAGACTGGATCTCACTTGTTCTCCTCCACATGTATGGCCTCAGGCTACCTCGATTTCCTGATCTGAGAGATGTGGAGCTGTTGTGGGCTGTACATGGTTGTGTCATCACCAGTCCTGTCCTGGTGGCAGGGATCTTCACATCTCCCTATGCTGTGCTGTGTCCATGGCTCTGTCCTTCCGGTGGATACCATCATTTCCCACTCATTCTTGTCCCACACTTACTTGGTGACAGTAGGTATCATGTTATGGCAGGTGCTTGACTGGCCAGTGTGACCAATCAATGGGCCATTTTTGTTATTAATGCTTTAGAGAGGGTCTCGCTGTGTAGCCTGAACTCTGGGCCTGGGCGCTGTACCTCAGCTCTTCAGCTCAAGGCGAGCGCTCTACCACTTGAGCCACAGCGCCACTTCTGGTTTTCTGAGTGGCTAACTGGAGATAAGAGTCTCACAGACTTTCCCATCCTGGCTGGCTTTGAATCTTGATCCTCAGATCTCAGTCTCAAGAGTAGCTAGGATTACAGGCATGAGCCATCATCGCCCAGCTGTTTGTTTGCTTATTTATTCTGTCATGGAGCTTGAACTCAGGTATTATGGGAGCTGTCCATGAACTGTTTTTGTTCAAAGCTAGTGCTCTAACACTTTGAGCCACAGCACAGCTTCCAGTTTTCTGATGGTTAATTGGAGATAAGAGTCTCATAGACTTTCCTGATCGTGTCAGCTTCACATCAATCCTCAGATCTCATCCTTCTGAGTAGCTAGGATTACAGGTGTCAGTCACCAGTACCTGACTTGCTTTGCTCATTTTGAAAACGAATTTCAAAAGTTTACCATGACTCAGACTCACAATAAAAAGTTTAAAATTTAGTTCATCCCATAGCTCTACTAAAAAATTTCAAATGGAGCTGGGCACCAGTGGCTCCCACATGTCATCTTAGCTACTCAGGACACTGAGATCTGAGGATCATGGTTCAAAAGTCAGCTCGGGTAGGAAAGTCTGTGAGATTCTTATCTCTAGTACTGTAAACTACTAAGAAAAAGCCAGTAGTGCTGTGGTTCAAGCAGTAGAGTGCTAGCCTTAAGCCAAAGAAGCTCAAGAGTTGGCGTCCAGGCCCAGAGTTCAAGTCCTGGGCTAGCAAAAAAACAAAAAAAAACAAAACTCCCAAGGTTTCTTATTCAGTATGCCATGTAGTTCATAGGGAAGTCTTTGTGGCCGACTCTGTGCTAGGCACTGCTAAAGTCAGAGGCAACAAGACAAAGCCCCTGGCTGCAGGCAGCTTCCATTTTTCAGAAGCTCACTGTAAAAAGTGAAGGGGCCAAGTCTCTTTTGCTTTCAGCATAAAGTTGTGCTAACCCAACACCCTACAGAGCCTTGCGTCCCTCTTGATCTTCCTTTCTGCCTGGGCCCTGTGTCATGTGGAGGGCTGGGAGCAGTGCCCACTTCAGGGCCTTTGCATTTGCTATTTCTTTGGATGAAGATATTCTTACTTCATACATTCATGTGACTTTCCACGTTCGTCAGAGCCTGACACGTTGGAGACCCTCGTCTGATGCCAGCCCTGTGGCAAACTCCCCTGCTTTCTTTTCCTTCAACTTTCTCTCTCACCTCTGCCTTCTGGTGTTACGTCTGACTTTGTCTCTTCACGGTTGTTCCCCTATGCTCCAGTGCTCCCCCATAAGTCTCTGGAGGGAAGGAGCTGCAGCTCTAATCCCAGAGCCAGCCATGCCGGGCTCCCATTGTGCTCTCTACAAATGGTACAGAAAGGGCTCACTGGATTTCGCCAGTAGCATCCCTTGGTGTCCAGTGGCCTCCCATGCAAATGGTCGTGCATCTGACCTGGTTTTCCTTTGTCCCTTCTGTCTTGCAGGTGGTAGATTCCCAGCTGGTGTGCATGATGAACGAGAACAGCATCGATTACATATCTAGGTTCAATGACCTGGCCCAAGAGCTGTCCATCACAGAGCCAGGCCGCCGAGAGGTTCTCTTTGATGGTGGTGGAGGTGGACCCCCTGTTGGCGACTTCTCCCAGTGACTGTGCCTCATGGAGAGGGCGTTCTGTATGATGCAGGGAAAAGCTTATGGGGCTGAGGTTATCCTCACTTTTGACAGATGAGACCTTCCAACTAGAGGAAAGCAAGTCAAGCCCAGAGTCCCTAAAGATTGTCAGCACAGGGCACCTCTGCAGCTCAGCGTGTGCAGCACATAGGAGCAGCTGGTCAAGGCTCCATTCCATATGCAGAGCCTGTGATATCTCAGGGCGAGCTCTGAAACTGCCATGGTGCGGGAGCCTCTCCTTGTGGTCTTGGGGCCTGGGCTATATGGGCTGGGCCTTCTAGAGTGTCTCCCTGCATAAGTCATGTCTGGCCCAGGTGACTTTGGAGCTATGATCTGTGCAGAACGCTATAGCCCCTGCTGTCTCCTCTCTGACGCCCTCTTCCCTACTTGGCTGATCTTTGGTGATGACACCAAGAGTGGTGATGGGCATGGCACAGACTTTGGCCACACATACTTTATGGATGCTCTGGTCATGTGGCAGAGAATGGTCCCCCGGCCTGTGCAACCAACATCACCTCCCAGAAGGCTGACCCTTGCCTGAGGTTTCCCCTTCCAGTGGCTTTGATTGGCCTGGCATAACCAGAAGGGGGAAAGAATCATGTCTTATGCAGGTTGTGGACATTTTATAGGGTCCTGCTAAGCTGGTTGAAACTATTTTATGTTTCAAGAATTAGGAGGCATGGAAAAGAAAGAACAGAGTCCTTCCTCTCTAGCTGATTTCCTTCCAGTGTTCTCCAGCAAGTTCCTTTAAGTGACCTGAAATTTATTTTTACTGAGCACACATTAATATGGCTATAGTTAGGGCTTCTTCCTGGCCCATTCTGTGGCAGACCTGCCTTTGTAGGGTTGATTTTGTTTTCCCTGGCATTGGTTCAGTGTACACGTAGCCCATGCATTGTAATCTCTCGCATGTCTCTGACCCAGGACTTACTTCCTCCTTTTCAAGGACCCTGGCAGATTTTAGACTTCACCACTGTGTCCTCCTGGTGACTCCCTCCTGGAGCCCCACAGGGGCCCCTAGTTACTACTGCAGGTAGTAACTAGTGTCTAGTGTCCAGACTTTTCCAAAATAGCGCCATCTTGCCTTCGCAGTTTGAGGAGGTTGATTCCAGCTCACAGATCACCAACTAACCATATCTGGCATGGCGCTAGGCAGGTGAGACGCACTGTCTCTGCTCACCCAGCATGAACCCTTTCTCTTCCCTACCTGAACCTTTCCTCTTCTCCCACTCCCTGGTGGCCCCCAAAGCCAGCCTAAGCTCTCCGCCGACTTTTCTTCCCATCTGCAGCGACCCAGAGGGAAGAGAAGCCCCCTGTTAGATCTTGCCTCAGGCGGGGGGGGGTAGGGGGGTCTCCCCTAGATTTCATTTGTGCCAAAAAGAAATACATATACTGGGGTGAAAAGTCACTAGATCTTACCTCTACAACACTCTTAAATCTCACCAAGCCATGTGGCCGCCCCTGACTACAGTAGAGGGAGAGGTGAGGACAGTGGTTCTAGACATCAGCTTCTTTCCTTTGCCTCCCTGACTTTAACTGGCTTCTCTCCTGCAAATCCTGACACTATGTGCAGCCTCCTTCCCTGCAACTCTGAGAAAACAGCTCCTGGCTGTGGAGGGGCTAGGGGAGTGCACCGCTGAATTAGCAGGTAGACCACAGTGTACAATGGCCCTACCCTGGCTCATGCTGTGCTTAGTACTGCGGCACATTACTGAACTGAAGAAACCTCTCAGATGTCTAGCCCACTGCAAGTCAGGACACCAGGCTGAGCAGAGGCAACTGCCAATATCCTCACACTCAGAGGGTTGAAGCCATTGACACCAGTAACAAGCATGGAAGCTAGCTGTAGCCTGGGGATTTTATCAGGGCAGTTGGCACCCTGAGCTGTGTCCTGTCCTCTGATAGGAATATAACTTGAGACTAGGCTCTTATATACCCTATCCTGTTCCAACCCTAGGCAGAGATGGCTTGTAGGAAAAACTGCTTGCCACCATTGTCACCCAGTGGCTGGCTGGCTCATTAAGTAGCGGAGTGCACTGATGAGTCTCCTTCAGTGAAGCCGACAGGATTCTGGAGGATTCTGGGGCTTTAGCAGCCAGACAGGTAGACATGTTTGGTTGCCATGATTTAGGCAAGAAAGTGGTGAATCTCTTTTCTCCTAGTCTAAGTGAATTTTGTCTATAAAATAATCTGGCAACTGCTAAAAGCTGGAGTTTTCAAAAGACCCAGCAGAGAAGCCCCCTGGCCCTCCAGCCTCTGCATTTCAGTGTAGCTGAGAGGAGCGGGGTGAACCTGGGGCTTGGTTTGGGTGTGGGAATGTGGGAGTGATTATGATGAGACAAGTTTTTGTTTTTTTAAAGGAAATCTTTCCCTAATGTCTTCCCCTGATCCAATCCTTTGACTAATTCATCTTTCCTGCATATTAAGATCACTTTTATTGGTGTTGAGGAAGTTGGTGTCTGTCCTCACGTGTTTGGAATGTGCAGTGATAAACATCACATCTCTGGGTGTGGAGGCAAGTAGAGTTCACACATCAGGTCGGGCGCTTGGCTTGCTCTGGGAGCCGGAGCCTTGGGCGTGGCATCTGTTGGTCAGCATACTGCCCCGCACCTGTTTCTCAGCATGGGAGTGTTTCCTGTTCATTCCATGTGTTGGCCTCCTTGCTGGCTTAGAAAGTTTACTGACATTGTTAGACCACCCCTAAAGTCTTTCAAGTCCGAATCTCTGCAAGACCAAGCCAGGGAAGAGGGAATGAGTACAACTACTTTTTATCACATTTCTGTCAGATGCATTCATAAGAAAATACCGCACTTTGTCTTAAAAACAAATCTTTTTTAAGCTAAGAAACCCCACGATCCACCTTTCCTAGGTGTGGCCCTGATCTCCCAGTCAGTCCTAGGTCAGTCCAGTGTAGGAAGCACTACACCAGCCCGCCCCTTCTTCCTTGATGGGATCATCGGCTGGCGCTGCAGCCAGGCCACAGAACTCAGTGCTGTTTGCTTTAATAATCGTTAAGCCATATCATCTAAGGTTTCCGGCTTGTTTGAGATGTGAATTTGTCTTATAGATATAAATATACAGTGTATTATAAAGCAGAATGCCTGCCCTTCCTGATTATTTTTTGTACCATATTGTAAATTATATTATTTATTCTTTACCAATTTGGGGAATAAGGTGTTTTGGTTATTTAATATAATAAAAGCTGTTAAACTTATGTTTAAACTTCCAGTTCAAAATGTAAATGTTTTTATTGTGCATAAATACATATACTAATACTTGACCTAACGCGTGTCTTGTGCCGGTGTTTAGCGCCAGTGCGCCCTGGTGAGCCCCGGGGCAAGACCTGTGCCGTCCCTGGCCACCGGGCTCTGCAGGGCTTCGGACAGTGCCTCCCTCCCAGCAGGTGCCCCCGCCGCGTCGGGGCTGGGCACCTCGCCTTCCACCCCACCCGGCAACTGGGGCCGGCCATCCGCCGGCCGCAGGGGCGGGTCCGCGGCAGAGGGCGGGGCGAGCTGTGGGCCAATTCTCAAAGCGAACTCTTGAGCGGCGTCTGCTTCGGCCAATCCACTACCACCGCGACGCCGGCCCGTGCAGGCCTCCCTCGGGCAGGGGGCGGGTTCTTGCGGAGCGGGGAGGGGGCGTGAGGCCTTGCGCGACGATAGGCTATGGGAGCGTGATTGGCACGCGGGAAGTCCAACGGGCGCGGAGAGGCCAGGATACCTGCGCTGGTTCGGGCGGGAACCGCGTCTCTGGTGCTGAGGGAAGCGCGGGGCGCGGACGACATGTTCCAGGGTGCGGACGGCGAGGTTGGCCGGCCGAGTTCCAGGTACACGGCCCGCGGGCCGGCGCGAGCGGCCACGCTCGTGCGAGGGGCGGCCACGTGGCGGGCGGGCGGG